AAGTTGGAACAAAGAAATAAAACAAGTCCTCTGTAACATTGTAACATCTCAGGGTACATAGGCCTGGGTACATACATTTAGCCTTTAAATTGACCAAAACATCAATAAAAGTAAGTCTTTCCTAACAAATTAAAGAAAATAAAATCTAAATTATGACGGGTATTTGGCAATACCAAAATTAAGATAAAGGCTTTGCGGGATTTGTTTCGCCACTTCTCTTCACAATCTGCCCTTCAGGCGACGGTGAAGCTGAATATTAAAAGAATAATGCCAACATTAGTCTGTATACTCTGTCTACATTATGATTTTATGGTTTAATTAATATTTATCTATCATTTAAAAAACCCTTTACTCCCCAAGATTAGGCTATGTGTTTTTGTGGAGGAACGTTATTGAATCCTCTGTAAACAGCTTTAGCGCAGTCCAGCAGCATCGAACACCCTTTCACTGCTGAAATACCTTTGCGGCTAGAATGTCAGGTTCTTTCTCAACTGGCGGCTGGCCTGACCGCTGTCAAAATTAGCTCTTTTTGACTTCTCTGTCATCTTTTGTTTCACCTTTGCAGGGAGGGAATTTAAAGTTGTAACAATTTAATTACTTTCTCACACGAATGAAAATGTATCAAAAGACTATTCATTTACATCGCAAGCCAAGCCCTGCCCAACTCGAACCAGTCTAAAATGATAGAAATTAAATCCGAACCCACCTGAACCCATCGGGTCCAGTCGGGTTTAGGCAAAGATCTTCAACTCTAACGTCTACCCCTACCCCAACCTTAAACTCAACCATCATAGTTATGTACAAACAGATCTGGATCTGGAGTCTTCTTTATTAGTACAGCTGATTAACCATGTGGATGGATGATAACAGCCTTCTGAGTCTACTAGTAGGAGCAGAAGGCCCCTACTGGCCCATATCTATCAGCTGATAACCCCGATTCAATTGAGTGAAAACATTCAAAGCGGCTGATGGAGGACAGGACAGTAGTTAGACGGGAAGTAAAAAAATGAGATTGGGGAAGGTCTGCAAGTTGGGAATCAAACTCTGGATGCCTGCAGCACAGTATCACTATACATGTTGGTGTTGGTATTGTCACGTTAGCGTGATCAAAAACAATAACAAAAACGGGAACAAAAGATAGCGGATTCAAGTGCAGATTTTAATATATTAAAGTGCAAAAACAGTAAACAAAAATACAAAATATCAAGTGCAAAGTAACAAATAAACAACAAAACAAGAAACTAAGACAGATAAACATGAACTAGACTACAGCAAGATACAAGGCGAGATCAGGAACAACAACTAGGAAAAACAGACTTACTGGTTACAAGAAAGACAAACGACGCGATGACAAACTGTGGTTGAATGACTGAATATCCTGGTTATCACGGATAATGGAGACAGCTGTGGTTGTAATCAATGTAAATGACAGACCGGGTGTGTGCGCGAAAGAATGTATGGAAATGTAGTCTTTATGGGCGCTGTAGTTTCACTCATTGTCCATTGAACTACAGCGCCCACAGGTGGTCACTGACAGATGTGACAGGTGTGCAATGGCAGACTCATCCCAAGCCATTTTGACGGAACTGCTCTTTTACCCCAATGGCAAGGGCTCTCAGAGTTTACCTTGTTTTTCTGAGTACAGAGATTGTAGTCATGATTCTAGTAGAACTAGTGGAAGATCAATGTAATTTTATTAACAATCAAACACCAAAAAGAGAAAAGGCAGCTGATCATCACAGATGACTGTCACACAAATCTAACCAAAACTGTAACATAAATGTACCAGGCCAGATCATCTCTCGTCCTTCACTGTCATTCCTTCTTTTTCATTCATAAGCTCCTCTGTGGGCCTTGAGACTGGCATGTCATTTTTAATTGATGTTAACTGTCAATCTAAGTTTATGCAGAAATAGAAATAACCATAGTAGTAGTAGTAGTTATGTGGCACTGTGCTATTATGACCATTAAAATAAAACACTGAAATAAATATTTACATCAGAGCGTGGATTTGTAAAGACTCATTTTATTCTTACACTTACTTAAATATCACAACTTTGGCATTCCCAAGCATCTCCAGTTACCTTTCACTAACCACAAACTTTCTATTATAAACTGTCATGCCATCCAGCTTACAGCTTTTCAGTGTAAAGGATACTGTGCCAATTGTACTGTCCAAAAGCACAAACACAGTAGGTTTACAAGTGCACCTGAAAGCGAACAGGTTGCCCTTTGAAATAAGCTGAAGAGAGTTCATTCATTTGAGAGACATTCCTCCAATAAACAAGTCTGGATTTTATGCAGTGTTCATGACCTGGTATGCGTACTTTATTTTTGGTCACCTCAAGGACCCTCCGTGTCTCCCCTCTCCCCATGTTGCAGCACGTGAAATTCTACGATCAGATTGTCAGGTCGCTGTGTACACGGGTTTGGACTAGCTCTGCTTTGGCTCTTCCCTGTGATGCCTCCATCTGTCAAAATGTCATCAGCTTTTCTGTGGATCAGTTTGTTGACCTAGTTAGATCATCTCACAAGAGAGTATGAATATTGGGAAATAATGCAGCCATGTTGTGTCAACTGCACGATGACTGGCTGACTAGACCTAAAGGAGGCATCAGTTAAGCTAAAGGTCAATACTGGACCTTCCCAGGGGCATTACGGGTTTCCCCCAGTTCAAACTAATTGTGATCCCAGTAGAGGTGGTGAGCCAGGGTTAGCATACAGTGTTTATTTACAGCAGTGGAAATGTTCCTTTCATGTACATGCCAGCACTAAATCTGTCTGATATGGTCTAATTTTTCATCTATAAAAATATCCATATGTGAATCTGACATCTTGTCTTGAAAGTTTTACCTGATAAAATGGACAATGTAAACAGTGGAACTATGTTAGACATTTGTAAACTACCAATTTGAGTCACTTAATGAACATGGAACAATAAAAATGTAATAAAAATAAAATTATATACAATTTTGACCTTTGATAACTTACAGTAATAAAGCAATTTGTCAAGACAAATGTTTGGCTAGAAACATTTGAGGTTTGAGAAGGCCTGAAAGTGAAACGGGTTTCTGTTTTAAAAGTTTAAAGACAGACAGACAGACAGACAGACAGACAGACAGACAGACAGACAGACAGACAGACAGACAGACAGACAGACAGACAGACAGACAGACAGACAGATAGATAGATAGATAGATAGATAGATAGATAGATAGATAGATAGATAGATAGATAGATAGATAGATCTTGACACATGTGTGAGTAAATTAACAAGAAATTAAAAATCTTTGAATGAACTATCCCTTTAACCTGACATTAGGCCTGCCATGTGAAACCCGACAAACACACCAAACCAAGCTGGACCAATGGCCGACACTTTTAACACACTTCTCGACTCATTTAACACATTGCTATTATGTATTTACAAGTTGATGTGGCTATACTGGTAGCATGCTTTAGAATCTGCATTATTTAGCACAATGCTTGCGTATTTAGGACATTGCTGGCGTACTTTAACATTCTGCTGATGCTGACAACATGATTGTTTGGCTTTAGTGCTTGCTTCCCAGCTGAAAAACCCAGCTTAAACAAGCCTAGGATGGTTGGCTTGTTTTAGCTGGTTGACTAGCCCAGTTTAAAAGGTTTTTTTTGGCCATTTCCAGGCTGTTTCCAGCCATTTCCAGCTTGGCCTTAGCTGGTCAGGCTAAAAAATGATCAGCTAAAACCAACTTGATCAGCCTGGTCTAAGCTGGACATAGCTGGTTTTGGCTGGCCTCTCAATCTGGCTTGGCTGGTCAAGCTGGTTTTAGCTGCTCATCTGGAAACCAGCCTGGAAATGGCAAAAAAAAAACCTCTAAAACCAAGCTGGTTGACCAGCTAAAGCCAGCCAACCATCCTTACCTGGTTTAAGCTGGATTTTTCAGCAGAGTTGTTTGGCTAACTTTGTTAGCTTGTTACAGTACATGTTTCTACACATTACAAACTTTGTGATAGATAATAATTATATAAACTTGTTCACTGCTTAATTTTTTTAAAAATAGTTTATGTAATGCGTTTTTTCCCCATGTAGCATAACTATTGGTTATTATTTAAAAAAAAAATCATACCTGCTCATTTTTAATCGATGAAAATGCATGGAACCTTTTTTGTCAGACATGTTAAAAACGCCATTTACAGCTCTGCGGTGACCCCTGGTGGTAGAGGATATGTACAAACAACAGTAATTACTGTATTATTTTTAAAAAAGCGAGCTCCTAGATTTAAAAAAAATGCTAAAGTACATTAGTTTTTATCTTTAATTTATGCATAATAAGATTCAAAACAAAGATAAGTACAACATGTGTACCTTTTCCATATTGGCACACCACTTTGGTACATGTAATTACATTTAGATTATTTTGGAATTTAAGTATGGTGTAAAAACCTGTGTGTACATTATAAGTGTGTTACCAAATTATTAACTGAAATGTAAGTAAGCCTATGCAGTAATTAATATTTATGAGGGGCTATACAGTGGCTCTCTGGTTAGCACTGTCAAGTCCCAGCTGGGCGAGTTGGTATTTCTGTGTGGAGTTTGTAGCATTTCTTGAGTGGGTTTCCTCCAAGTGCTCTGGTTTCCCCCACAGTCCAAAGACATGCTGTAAAAGTGAATTGGATAAACAAACTAAATTGGCCGTACTGTATGTGTGTGTGTTTGTGAATGCAAGATTATATAGGTGTTTCTCAGTACTGGGTTGTGGCTGTAAGGGCATCTGCTGAGTAAAAACATATGCCAGATTAGTTGGCGGTTCACTCTGCTGTGGTGACCACTGAAAAATAAGGGTCACAGGATATGTGAAGCCCTCTGACATTTGACATTTCCTAACCGGTGTAAAAATGATATAATCAACACACAAATACACCAAACGACTTGTTTGTTTTATACACACAACTCAAAAAACAGGATAAAATGGGAAGAGCGAATAAGCAATGAAGAAAGGGAGTGAGATAGAGACAGGCGGAGGGATGTTGAGCGGAGGGAAGAGAAAGGGAGGGGAAAAGTAAAAGCCAAAGGATTCTGAAAACACAAGGAGCAGCAGAGTATTGGAAATTTGTAAGTATTATTAAAACCAATTCTTTTGAGATTATTACATCATTACAATTTCCATCTAACACATCATCTAGTCATTGCTGCTGACAGGCACATACTAAAAAAAGAAGACAGCTAGAAAACATCGGAATTAGCCTTGAAACAACAACAACGATGCAAAGAATACACATTTTCATATGAAAAAGAATGCTTAATGCAAGTTATATGCGCACTCTGTAGTTGAGTTGTCAGTTAATGAATATGTAACGGATGCCTCAGGCAAAACTATGGACCGAGGGAAGTTGCATATGTGTTTATGAGTGTTTGTGAATTCATGCATCTGTGTATGTGAGTTTGTTGAGTCCACAGGGAGGGGTGGGAAAGCACATTCTTTAGTGTGAGATCATGTCTTGGACACAGAGAAATACAGGATTAAAGGAGAAGACGCGGGGAGAAAGAAGGAACCAGACAAAGCTGGATAGATGGAACAGCTGTAACTGATATCTTTAACCCTTAAAGACCGAGACAGCCGCCCGCGGCTAAAAATAAGTATTACTCTTAAATGTTTAATAACTTTTGATCCGCTGATCCGATTCATACAATTCAAAGATTGGCATAAAGAAGAGAATCTCAGCTTTCCAGTGCTGTATCACATAACATTCGCGGACTTTCAGAGGCTCCGGAATCAGTGCGGTTACGTCATCAAAATTTGACAACGCTGATTTGACAAAGAAACGCTCGTCACTGTGTCTCCGGACAAATCAGACATGATACATTGATGCATTGTCCCTCCTCCATGCCCAGATTGGTTCAAACTCGCTATATCACAACCAATAAGCATAGGTTTCGCTTTTGTTTGTGGACCAAGCTTTTTGAACAACACGGAATGAGAGATAGGCATACATTTATGCGCGGCTAAATAAAACGCAAAAAAACATGTTTTGCATGAAATAATTTTCATGCTAAGTACTTTTGCATGCACAGCAGCACAGAAACATGACAAAACAGTGACACAGCAAAGACGAACTGCTGCTCTTGCTGTTTTCAAAAGACGCAAATGAAGGTGCAGCTGTTTGTCTGCATTGCAGACAACCATATCCAAATCCATATTCACAGACAACCATATCCATGCTGGCACATAAAACCTAAGGATGTTCCATATTGAATCTAGTTTAGTTATGTAACTATTTATGGTATAGTAAATATTTATATCTATTTTTTTACTGAGGATTTGCACCATGTTTATTTGGACTTTGACACATTATTTATTATTTTCTTATTTTTTTTTATTTGTTCATTGTAAGTGGTGTTGTTTATAGTAACTGAAAATATATTATTTGGAAAAAGTCAAATTTGCTTCACTGTTCTATTATTTTGTAACATTTTTTTTTTTCTGTTTAGTTAATTCCCAGAACTTTTGGGCAAATACATTGTCAGTAAATAAATGCATTTTTTTCCCCCATAGAAAAACGCCTTGGAATAACATTGAAATAAATTGCTATAACTTGCTCAGGGAATTGTGGATGTAGACAAAATTTATTTTGGAAGTATAAAACATCATAGCATGTATTTCTAAAGAAAGAAAAACAAACTTCATAAGGTTTTGTTTAAAATAACTGGAAATTGCCACTTTTTTTAAAAATCGTTTCTGGAAAATTCTGGAATATTTTCTGTCTTTTCATATGTTTTTGGACCAAAAAATATTTTAGACTGGACCTTTAAATGATACAGATTGAAACTTCAGGTTCTCCTGTTTAAAATGATATATAACACTTGAGGCTGACTGCTAAAATAAAAATAAAACTGCTTTTAAAAAAAATAATAATATAGGCCCATTAGGTGCCCACAAAATACCTCTAGGTCTTTAAGGGTTAATGAGTGATTGTGACATCAATGAATGAGAATTTGCATGAGTCAGAGACAAGTGGAAATGGAGATTTTCAACATTCTGCGGTTGTGCTTTCTTATACGCTCTATCTTGCAGACTATCATTGTGTCCAGGTGTTTCGAGGATTTTTATAAATGGATACATTTTGGAAGGCTGTAAAACTGGACCTATAACTAAAATCGGACTCAAATAAGACTCTGTTTTAGACGTTCTGTTAAAAATCCTACAAAAATATTAAGCAACAACCAGTGGTGCACTGTAAAACCCAACAGTCAACTTTAGTAAATGAAATGAGTGTAGTTAACTCAAAATTGACTGAATCTATGCATTTGAAAAGAGTTTTGAACTCAGTGTTGAAGGTAATGGGATAATTAAATACCGCATTACTTCAACTTAAACGGAGTAAGCTCACAGTACTCATATAGATAATTTTTCTATGTTAGGTTTGGTGCATTCGGTTTCCTCAAATAATTTGAGTTGCCTTAACTTATCAGGTTTTACAGTACTCAGTTGGTTTGAGCTCTCTTCATTTATTGGGTTTTACTGTGCTTAAATTGCTTCGTTTACTCAAATGAGTTCACAGTACTCATAAGAATTAGTTTTTGAACTTAAATGGTTTGTTGCAATCGGTTTCCTCAAATGGTTTGAGTTACCTTTACTTATTGAGTTTTACAGTGTATAAAGTAACTAATTAAAAATACTCAAATGACTGTAATTGAGCAGTTTTTCTCAGGAATTGTAATTTGCTGAGTAGTTTTATAAATGTGTACATTTACTTCCCCTTGAGTGCATTTTTAGTGCTGTATCGGTACTTTTACCCCACTACTTTCCTTCTACCTGCAGTCACTACTTTATTTCTTTCTTGTCTATGGTGATTGGCTCAAGTAGAAAAATCATTCCTGCGATTCCTGTCCAATCAAATTGCACATAAAAAGTAAATCGCATCATACTGAGCAACCTAAAGAGATGGATGCTTTATAAATGCACTAAACCTTTTGGAAACATTAAAAATGTCCAAGAAGATGTCAAAAAACTGTACACTCAATGAACTAGAGACTGTTTATAGACTGCATGTCACTGATGACTGATGAGATAATGAAGGATGTCAACTGTATGATGACTGAAATCACTTAACAGCCTCAAACAAACACTAAATGGAACGAAAGAAGAATGGAAGAAAAGGGAGAATGAAGGAAGGGAAGAACAAGAAATGAAGAAAAGACCAAATGGAGGAAGGAAGGACCAAACAAAAGAAGGAAAGAAGGACCAAATTAATGAAGGAAGGATTCAAGAAAGGACTGAACAAATAAAGGAAGGAAAGAACAAATATCAGCTATATACACAAAGGACCTAAAGAAGGAAGGAACAAAAGAATGAATGACCAAATGAATGAGTGAAAGAATGAGGTAAGGAAGGAACAAAGGAGGGAACAAATAAATGACAAAACAAACAAACAAATGAAAGAAGAAAGGATCGAACTAACGAAGGAATGAAGGACTAAATGACTAAAGGAAGGATTCAAGGAAGGACTGAACAAACGAAGGAAGGAAGAAATGAATAAATGAACGAATGAATGAATGAACAAAGGACCTAATGAAGGAAGGAACAAATGAATGAATGAATGAATGAATGAATGAATGAATGAATGAATGAATGAATGAATGAATGAGTAAATGAATAAAGGGAGGAAAAAAATTAACAAATAAATTAAGGAAGGACAAAACAAACAAACAATGGAAGGAAGGAAGGAACAAATATCAGCTATATACACAAAGGACCTAAAGAAGGAAGGAACAAAAGAATGAATGACCAAATGAATGAGTGAAAGAATGAGGTAAGGAAGGAACAAAAGAGGGAACAAATAAATGACAAAACAAACAAACAAATGAAGGAAGAAAGGATCGAACTAACGAAGGAATGAAGGACTAAATGACTAAAGGAAGGATTCAAGGAAGGACTGAACAAACGAAGGAAGGAACAAATGAATAAATGAACGAATGAATGAATGAACAAAGGACCTAATGAAGGAAGGAACAAATGAATGAATGAATGAATGAATGAATGAATGAGTAAATGAATAAAGGGAGGAAAAAAATGAACAAATAAATTAAGGAAGGACAAAACAAACAAACAATGGAAGGAAGGAAGGAAGGAAGGAACAAATATAGGAAGATAACTGATTGCACTACAGAATGTTACGTCTACACATCCTTTTACACATTGCAAGTAAACGGGTCCACTTTTCAATGTAATACTCACTACTCACTACTCTTGAGTACTTTTAAAAGGGCTACTTTTTATTCATATTTTGAGTGCTATTTACAACAGATACTTTTACTACTTGCACTACATTTTTGGGCAAGTCATGGTACTTTTACTTGAGTATAATTTTTCAGCACTCACTTATTATATGAGGGATAATATTAAAATAAATACATTTTCATGTCACAGTCTGCCTCGTTTTAGCAATCACAACCATCCTATCCTTTTCATCTTCAGATTCAATATTCTAATAGCTCACAGCTTATTTAACAGATCCACCATCAATACAGTGGCAGCTACATTTGGTTGCATACAGCAGTCATTTAAGTTGGTTTAGTTTTATTGAATATTTAAAGCATCTTCAAAACAAACAAAGGGCCGAACAAATTGAGGAGAAAAAAAATATATAACTAGCTATGAAATCCAAAATAAATTTAGGTTTCTCAATATAACAGTCATTCAAGCCATTTCGAGATTTGTTAATGATATTCTTTAGTTTAATGCAAATTAAAACAAAAGAATATGAACAAAAATGACATCATCCAGTGTATCCATGGGGACTTTAAATGTCTTAAAAAAAAAACTTAAATTGACCGAAATATTCTCTTGTGGGTCTAAAATCATTTTTATTTTCATCGTTTTTAAAGAGTTTTTTTTTTATGTTGTTAATTGTGTTTATTAGATATGTTGCAAAATATATATGTATATAAGTAGGGTCTGCTTGTTTTGCCACATTATTTAAAATATAAGGCTAAGAAATAACTATTTAGAATTAGTTTTTTTGATAGGGCAAGTATTTATTTATTTTTTTTCTTTATGGGCCATTAAAAAATCTTTAGCGTTTAGCCCTATATAAGTCTGAAATTTCATTCTTCATGATCTTAAAAAGTCTTAAATTTGACTTTGTGAAACCAGCAGAGCCCCTGTTATCAATATAAGGAGATTCTTTGATCAATAAAGGGTTTATTGCTCTCAAATCATCACAAATTAAATGATTGTTGTGCAGAAAAAAAGTAGACTATTACATACATTGGGTCACAAGAGTTATAATATTCTTGTTCTAATATTTATAATGAATAGACTGAATACTGAGAAGGTTAATAGCTAAATTTTTAAATATTGAATGAAGTCACAGACTGCTAAAGACCAAAGTTAAGCATTTGCATGTTAGAGGTACAGTTGAAGTCAGATTTATTAGCCCCCCTTCTTCTTTTTTAAATATTTCCCAAAAAATATGTTTAACAGAGCAAGGAAATGTTCACAGTATGTCTGATAATATTTTTTCTTCTGGAGAAAGTCTTATTTGTTTTATTTCGACTAGAATAAAAGCAGTTTTTAAATATTTTAACAACATTTTAAGGACAAAATTGTTATCCCTTCAAGCTAATTTTTTCCCCGATAATCAATAGAACAAACCATCGTTATACAATGATTTGCCTAATTACCCTTACCTGTTAACCTAATTAACCTAGTTAAGCCTTTAAATGTCACTTTAAGCTGTATAGAAGTGTCTTGAAAATATCTAGTAAAATATTATTTACTGTCAACATGGCAAAGATAAAATAAATCAGTTATTAGAGATGAGTTATTAAAACTATTATGTTTAGAAATGTTAAAAATATTCCCTCCGTTAAACAGAAATTGGGGAAAAAAATAAACAGGAGGGCGAATAACTCAGGCAGGACTTCAACTGTATATAGTTGAGCCAAAAATATTTTATTCTATTTACTCACAAGTGGTTCCAAACACTTATGAGTAGCTTTAGTCTGCTGAACTTGGATACCGATAGAAGAAACCTGGATACCGATAACCACTGACTTTCAAATAGAAAAAACAAATACCATAGAAGTCAATGGTTAACAGATTTCTTCAGAATATCTTCTTTTGTGTTCAACAGAAGAAAGTAAAAAAAATGTTCTGTTTTACGTGAACCATCTCTTTAACATCATGTTTTAGCATCAAATTAGCATGTCTGATTTGCTAAGGATTATTTTATAATAAACACTATGAAAGTTCAGTTTTCTATCCCAGGAATACAACATTTTCTCTCCCCTCTGAATTTACTCTAGCTGTTATTTGGAAAGCGCTGAAAGCTATTTCAGGGTTGTTATGATCAACATGCTCATAACCTTTCTTGTTCTCTTTAGCCCCGAGCTGTGATCAAACCCTGTGAAGACCCTGAAAGATGGGCAGCGCTCCAGTGTCTGTGCTGCTATGCTGTTGTTTCTTTAGTAAGTCCATTAAAAAGAACAAAACAGAAGCCTGTTCATTTAATTAATATGAATGAATGGTTCCTTTTGAATGCTCAGTCAACAAAACATCTCTGCTTTTCTTTTTTTTTCTCACAGTACTTGTTACCGTCCAGGCACAACAGATTGGTAACTTGTTAAAATGTCGTTAAAATCATTGTATGGACACTTGTGTGTGTTTATATATATATATATATATATATATATATGGAGAAACCATAAACAACTTTTTATACATAAAAACAGGTTTTATAGGAGTGATTTGTGTGTTGGTTTCAAAGCTGCGAGCTGTCATGTCCATTTATTCCAGTTAATTAAAAATCATATCAGCACATAATAATTACAAAATAAATAAATAAAAGTTTAGTAATAATAATACAAACATAGTTTTGGCTATTGCTTAAATTAAAATAGTTTTCACCAAGAGATGATAACAAATTTTATAAAACAACATATGTTGTGGAACATTGATTATTAACGATTGTAATTCCTAATCCTTATTATAATTCACTCTCTCTTGCACTTTTATTAAGAAAAAACCATGTCATTGTTAAGATCTAAGACTTAAGGTTCCATATTTGCTGACTTTTCCATATAGAAGTGATGTTGTGACAGAAATGCAGTGTTTCGTTCAAAGATAATGGGCCCTATCATACTCCCGGCGCAATGTGGCGCAAGGCGTGACGCAATACTTGTTTGCTAGTTTCAGCTTGGCGCAAGAGTCGTTTTGAGGTGTTGTGCCACGCTCTTTAAATAGCAAATGCATTTGCGCTCATATATGTGCGCCCATAGGCATTCTGGTCTAAAATGGAAGGCGTTCTGAGGCGCATTGCTGGCGCGTTGCTATTTTGAGAAGCTATAATAGATTTTTTATTAGACCAAAACAAACTCGGTCTAAACTCCAGCGTAGAGTTGTGCCTCGCTTACACACTGCTTAATAGCCACACAAGATGTAAAGCAATACAAAAATATCTTTACTTATGAAAAAATTTAAATATTAAGGATATATAGGATATAATAAGAATATATATAGGATATAAATATAAAGGATTAAAATATTGAAACATGAAGTAGGGGCGGGGCAGACATAGAGTAGCTCCTCCCCCTTTTAAAAAAGCAACCAAAATCATTTAGGGTGCTTTCACACCTACACTTTTGTTTCGGAACGTATCTCGTTTGCCCAGTTAACGTGGTTCGATTGGCATATGTGAACAGGGCAATCGCGCTCTGTTAAAGTAATCGCTCCGAGATCGCTTGAATGAGGTGGTCTCGGCTCGATTGAAACGAACCCTGGAGCGGTTCGATTGCAGTGAGAAAGCGATCCGATCCGAGCGCGGTTATATCACAGTGTTTTATGGATATGTAAGAGGCTTACGGCTATATGAAGAGAGAATTATGAGTAGGGCGGGAAGTTTCGCGAGTCTCTGGATGCCCGCAAACGAGTGATGATCTCCCGGTAATCTCGCGTCTCTCTCCCAGTCCTCAAATAGGCATGGTCGTGCACCCTTCTCACCCCTCCCCACCGTGTCTCTCCTCAGACACGTCACACGCGCGCACCCTGTCAATCACCACCAAACCACCACCTCTCCTGACAGCTGAGCGGGACGCTGCAAAATAAACCCTGACACTCTGACCAATGTGAGGAGAGTTTACTCGCACGTGACTTGTTTTAGCTCGTTTAGGAACTTTGCAATGTGAAAGCGAACCGCTCCAAGAGCAAAGAGCAACAATGTAACAATTTTAATCTCTGTTTCGGAACAACTGAATCGATTCACAGGTGTGAAAGCACCCTTAGTTTCACAGCTCTGCCAGTGAAAATGGTTGAGCTCAAACTAATAAAGCAGTAGCATCTTTCTTGAAGGGGGCAGGATATGTCAGAAACTAATCGAAACAAAAAAATCATTAATCCAGGGGTCACCAACCCTGTTCCTGGAGAGCTACCTTCCTGCAGAATTCAGTCCCAACCATGACTGAACCAAACACACCTGAACCAATTAATAGTACCTAAAGCAGCACTTGATAATTACAAACAGGTGTGTTTGGTCAGGGTTGCAACTGAAATGTGCAGGAAGGTAGCTCTCCAGGAACGGTTGGTGACACCTGCATGGGCGTGGTAGTGGGGGGAAAAGTGGACCTGACTACCCAGGGCCCCGTCTAGGGAGAGGGCCCTTTGAAATCCCACCAATTTTTTTTTTTTTTTTTTTGTAGCCTACTTCGAATTAATTGGCCCCTCCAATTGATGTCAATGTCATTATTTATTTCAAAATATATTGATAACACCTCCACCCGCCCCGAAATGGTTTAGTCCGCCCATAGACGGCAGCCGGCGGCAAACAAGTATCGCAGAGAGTCTAGAGCAGGGGTCTCAAACTCAATTTACCTGGGGGCCGCAGGAGGCAAAGTCTGGGTGAGGCTGGGCCGCATAAGGGATTCCACAAAAAAAAGTCCTCAAATGTCATTATTAACAGTTTTAATTATTTCTTCTGAACATGAAGTGTCCTGAACATTAATAGAACATTGAGTGAAGATTATGAACAGTTCTTCTGAACATGGCATCTTTTGCCTACTTCTTGCTGCCAGAGACTTAACAGCGCTTCTTCTCACAAATCTGAACCACATTTGGCTTTGGAGCGGAAGCAGTTGAGACCCTCAGTATGGCTTGAAGATGATCATCATTATGTCTAGACCTGTACTTTGACTTATTGAAGTCCTAGGGAAAAAAAGTGGGGGAACTCACTCAAAACTTCCATTCCCTCACCTAAAAAAAGGCGTATATATGTATAAATAAAACACCCCCACCCCACTCCAGTCACATCAGTCTGTACCAGTCTGTATCTACCTATAATAGGGCAGGCACGTGCACACATAGGGCTCAAGTGCCCTTCCAAAATGATCAAAAGTGCCCCCGCGACGCGACACACCCTCGGTCCCGCCCTTCAGTAGGCGCGCGATAACACCGCTCTTGAGTACGCGCGCGACAACACAGCTGATCAGAACGCGCGCGACAACGCGCATTGAGTGACAAGCGCGCTGTGTACGGATAGAATCAGCGGAGCGGGGAGCGCTCTCTCACCCCGCTCCGCTGATTCTGTCAGAGTACAGCGGTCGGCGCGGGCCACAAAATATTGCACTGAGGGCCGCAAATGGCCCGCGGGCCGCGAGTTTATGAGTTTAGCTTGTTATGAAACTACATCTAATTAAAGTTAACACAGTCAACTCCAGACAGCTGCTGCTAATGCAGGGCTCGAAATTGCGACCATTTTGGTCGCATATAATGCTGATTTGTGTACAGTCATTACTAGGGAAACCGTAATACTTCAGCGCACCTAAAGCGCCCCCTTGTGACAGAGAATGAATTTTTATTTCCAATAAATTTTTTCAACTGTTTATGGTCAAATTATTGCAATTATCGATCCATGTGTAAATGTGAAAGAAGTTAATGTGCCTTTTAAAAATCTAAACAATTAAGTAATACTAATATAAGAAATTATATACTTGATTTATCCCTTTTATTGGTATAAAGGTTGAAATGTCATTGTATTAGATTGAGCAAAAGTAGGCCAAATGCATCAATTTGGTGGTGAATGAAAGAACCAGTCATTATTATAATCTGATTTGATTATAGATTAAAACACTATTTGTGCATGTTTATATTCAAATAATTAAAAAAAAAATGTGTAGGGGGCCCACTGACATTGAGAGGGTACAGGGCCCAGAATTTGGTGCTACGCCCCTGGACACCTGCATTAATCAATTTAGGCGCAAATGACAAACTGCATTGTACGTTTTTATCTTCTTAATGCAAACCGTGTCACTGTTTTGAAGCACACTAGATTTTAGATATCCTTAAGACTAACATACTGATCTTAACATCTAATAAACTTTAGTTTGAATGTACAGTGCTTTTACGTAATTTAAAATTCAGTTCAATTCATCTTTATTTCTATAGCGCTTTTCAAATGTAGATTGTGTCAAAGCAGCTTAACATAGAAGTTCAAGTAAATTAAAACTGTGTCAGTCCAGTTTTCAGTGTTGAAGTTCAGTTTAGTTCAGTTCAGTGTGGTTTAATTTCACCGCTGAAAATCTAAACACTGAAGAGCAAATCCATCGATGCGCAGCTCTACAAGTCCCAAACCAAGAAAGCAAGTGGTAACAGTGGCGAGCAACAAACTTCACCAATTGATAAAGTAAAGGAAAAAAAACCTTAAGAGAAACCAGGGTCTGTTGAGTACGACCATTTCTCCTCTGGCCAAACTGCAGAGCTGTGGTAAATTATAAACAAAAGGAATCACTGGGATCCACTGTTGGCAATGGCCCTGTATAATGCTTCTGTATAATATATTATACTGTATATTATAATATTAAAACTATATGATGGTTTACATTGTCTTTTAAAAAATGTTTATTAGTTTTAAACAGTCTAAAATCTCCTTGTTGTGACAGCTCACTCTATTCACTGGTGTATACAAGCATGATAACTAGCCTTGGTTTCATGTTTTTAGCTTGCTGTTTTTATTTTTTCTTGACAGAAATAGATGACTTTGACGCCACCGTTTTGCCTCCGCCAGGTGAGTGTGTATATGGTGTGTATGTGAGAGCACATGATTTGTGTGAATAACAGTCTTGTCTCTGTCCAAAAGACTGCAGAGAGGAAACTTACCCCTGCACCAGGATGTACTCGGTTCATCGACCCATAAAGAGATGCATTCATTCACTCTGTCTCTACAGGTGCGTATACAACACTCACAGACATACGCATACACACTTGAGCAGCTATCTTAATAGGGTCTTCCAAAAGACATAATGTTTTTATTCGATCCTCGCATGCAAACGGAAACCAAAAAAATGTCCCCACAAGGTCAAAATGTACTCGTATGTTTATACTTGTGAAGACATTTGGTCCCCACAATGAAAGTAACAAAATTCTCAAATTACACTTTCATTTTGCATCTCCAAAATAAAGCTTATATTATTAAAATTAACACTTCAATAAAACTGTTTTGAATTATAACAAAGTTATATCAAGTTATCTGTAAAAAAATATGTTTATTTGTATATTAAAGCACGTTTTATTTTGAAAATATGAACTTTACGTCCTTATACGTTCAAGTGAACTGTGTTACATCAGTAAAGCACTAATAGAAAACATATGACTTGCTCCAAGTGATGTCACTTCCTCTGGAGAGAAACAAGGCATTCAGGAATGTTATTTATTCTTATTAGTTTATAGAAAATGTTTAGGATACACCAATATTAGATACATTACCTGTCAACTGTGATAACAAGTGTCATATTGTGATATTTAAGTTAATTTCTAATTCACTATTTAAAACGAAAAATATGATGAAAATAAATCAATATAGGCTCTTTATGGATACGTACCCCTGTCTACATTTCTAAGAGTGTGAATTATATAGCTACAATACGTATGGCTCCACTTTGTCTTTAAAATTAGAAAGACAAGAAGCCGCAGATGGCTTCTGTTTCTTTTAGCGCTAGCAGCTGACCGCTTGACTTTGTATGGATGACCTTTGTGGTGTTACCAGTTTGCCCATTAGCTTGCTGCATACAGAGATGGACTTGATACAGCTGAGTTGACGATGATGACAGGGTTTGAGTCTGGCAAAAAATGGTACCAGAGACCACACCATAAAAAAAATTCTAAAATATTGGCCACTGAATTACAGAAATTTATTGTAAAATAACAGACGTTAAATGAATTTTCTGTAATTTAATATCCGTTATTTCTACGGTACATAAAACTAAAAAATATATAAATAAACAACAGGCTAAAAATATGGTAAAATTAAATGACTGTGATTCTTCTGCAATTTTTTCTAGATTAATTGCTTTTGAATCAGTTGGGTTTAGAGACAGGGATGGGTGCAGTCAGTCAGTACGTCAGTCTACAGCAAGCTGGCCTGGGGTACGTTTTCGAGAACCATCATTAGCCAACTAAAGTTGCAAATACCGTTATTACAAACATAGTTCCTTGATTTGCCGTTTCTCTAATCCATCGTTCCAACAAACATTCGCAAACTGTGTCACAAACTTGTACACTTGCAACTACACCTCTAGAGCTGTAGTTAGAAGCATAGTTAGGGCCCTATCATACACCCGGCACAATGTGACGCAAGGCGTGGCGCAATAGTCTTTTGCTAGTTTCTACTTGGCGCAAGAGTCATTTTGAGGCGTTGCGCTACGCTGTTTAAATGTGTGCGCCCATCGGTGTTCTGGTCTAAAAAGGAAGGCGTTCTGAGGTACATCGCTGGCGCTTTGCTATTTTGAGGAACTAAAATAGATTTTTCATTAGACTAAAACAAACCCGGTCTAAACTACAGCGAATGGGAGATGAGACTCTGATTGGGTTCATTCTCAAAACACACCTATAACTCATTCAGAAAATAAACTCAACCATTTTAGACCATGCGCCACAGCGCAAAACGGATTTTTCCGTCCTTAAATTAGCAAAAATGCATTCTGACACGCCCTGAAAGCGTTTGCGCCCTGCGCTTTGCGCATGGGCCGTCAAAATAGAGCCCTTAGTTTCTGGTTGTGTACTATTCCCAGTCATCCCCCATAAACCATATTCATTTAGAAAGTTACAATATTTAAACTTGATTAAAAAAGCCATTAAAGTAATCTGTTTTACATGTAATTTGCTTTAAAAATATTTTAACAGTTCAATTTTAGCAATCTTCTTAATGACAATTGTGTTCCCTTCGTATCGCACTTTGAAAACATTTATATCATTTTGAACACAGCTGTGGCTCATGGCGAAAGGTGACCTATAATTTAAAGGTGGAATTTATGAAAACAAAATATGTAGCATACGTTAATGGGCCCATTGGTTAGAACATTTCTACAGTGGTTTGAATGTGTCAAAGACTTTTCTAAAAAATTAAATAAATAAACAAACATTATCCTACATAATTATAATAATAATAAGAATAATAATAAATAGGATACTTGTTTTAATTATTAATAAATAGCATACTGTAAATTACAACCAGTGGGCAACGCAGTGGCGCAGTAAGAAAGTTGCTGGTTCTAGTGGGGTCAGTTGGCTTTTCTGTGTGGAGTTTGCATGTTCTCGCTGCGTTCGCATAGGCTTCCTCCGGTTGCGCCGGTTTACTGCAAAGTCTAAAGACATGCAGTACAGGTTAATTGGGTAGGCTAAATTGTCCATAGTGTATGATTTCTGGAAAAGGCATCCGCTGCGTAAAACATGTTCTGGATAAGTAGGTGGTTCATTCTGCTGTGGCGACCCCGGATTAATAAAGGGACTAAGCCGACAAGAAAGTTAATGAATGTATGAAATTACAACCATTTGATTCATATATGACATTAGAATACGTGTTAGCTAATGGAAAATGCTTGAAATGTTCCAGCAATCCTGAAATGAGTCACATACAAACACTCACAAACACACTCACGCACACACCGGTTTTATGAAGGAAACATTCTGCAGTTTAACATTTTCAAAATACTTAATTGTATGATTTATTATCTGTTTTGTCATGGAGACCAAAAAAGTCACCACAAGGTCAGACATTACTACTATTGCTTTACATACCTTTTGGATCCCTACGACATGATGAATGCTAGGACCACACACACTTGCACTCACTTTTTTCTTTCAATTTAAGCAAGCTATTTTGTTTTCTCTATCTTGTTGACATTCTCCTCTGCTGAACACACAGAGAGATTAGTGTTTGATATGATGCATGTGAAGTAATTGACATCTGTTTCCTCCAGTCTTCCTAGAGTTTATGTGATCAACAAGGAGATCTGTGTGAGGACTGTGTGCCTGCAAGATGAGATCCTGATGGGTGAGACACCCAACATCTAATTAAGAAACAAACTATAAAACCTCATATGTTTTTGTCTTTTCAATGTATATGGGTGACAATATGATTTAGATTGGGCTTGAGTGCTGATGTATTGTTGTCATATGGTTAATAATATTTTCTGAGAAGATATTGAGGGTGCTGTATGAGTTTTTGACTCTTCTAAAGCAAAAAATTACATAATATATTTGCAGATTATTAAGAAACATGCCAAGTGAACAATCTTGTTTATTTGAAAAACAATGCTGAAGTCAGATAATCTGCTTTGAAAATGTGTTTTCCGTGCTGGAACGCTGCCTTTGTTTATGTTCTTTTTAACCTGCTCAATGCCAGTTTAGCCAATTATATTTCAGTTCCCCGAGTTGCCTTTGTGAAACACTGCGTATTTCATTCATTCATTCAGGAAGTTTCTCAAAGCATGCATCTGTGACTGAAATGTGACCTTCGTTGTACAGTAATAAACTCTAAATGAGAAGCAGATTCGGAGTTCCACATGAGGTTTTTATTAATTAGCAAATAATATTAACATTCTCTGTCGCTGGATCGAGCCTCTGCTCAGTTGGCGTTTCTGTGTGGAGTTTGCATGTTCTCCCTGCGTTTGCGTGGGTTTCCTCCAGGTGCTCCAGTTTCCCCTACAATCCAAAGACATGTGGTACAGGTGAATTGGGTAGGCTAAATTGTTTGTAGTGTGTGTGTGAATGAGTGTGTATGGATGTTTCCCAGAGATGGGTTGCAGCTGGAAGGGCATCCGCTGTGTAAAAACGTGCTGGATAAGTTGGTGGTTCATTCCGCTGTGGGGACCCCGGATTAATAAAGGGACTAAGCTACCAAAAAAATTGAATGAATATAAACATTATGAACATAATCATTGGTTGAGCAGGTTACACTGTAACCCCGTGTCCTAACAACACGCTACGTGAGGAGATTTGCAGTGATAAGCCATTTAGCTGTTTGTACCAGCCGAAACACCACAGATATTTAAACATAGCCATTCGAAGCACTCACTCATGACATGGGAAGGTTTATTATCTAATTAATACATAGGTATTAAACCTCTTTAACACAATTAAATGAACAGGTAGATTCTGAATCACTGATATGTGGTGGTTTTGAGTCACAGTTCAAGGGCCCTATCATACACCCAACGCAATGCGGCGCAAGGCGCGAAGCAATTGTTGTTTGCTAGTTTCAGCTCGGTGCAAGAGTCATTTTGACACATTGCTTAATACACATAGGATGTACAGCAATTCACAAATATCTTTACAAATGAAAAAGAAAGGATTAAAATATTACAAAAAATATTATTTTCTAGCCTACATAAATATACAAACTATACTTTCATGCCAGTTTTACCACTCACAAAGTCCGCCATGTAAATAGCAAATGCGATATGGCGTGCCTTTTTCTGTCCCTAAAATAGCAAAAGTGGATTCTGACACACCCTTAATGCGTTTGTGCCCTGCACTTTGTGCATGGATTGTCAAAATAGAGCCTCAATGTTTTTTTTTTTTTTAAGATCTAAGGTGAACTATCTACTGCTGCTTTCAGTAGTATGGCAATAAATGTAATGTAAAATTACATTCAAACTCACATTATTACTATTTAACACTGAATAAAGCACATGAGGTGTACCTAAGTTGATTATTGTCAGTTTTCTGCTGTTCAGCTGTAAGAAATAGAAGCCATTTCTTATATATTAATTTGAGGTGTTGGTTAGGACAAAAAGTCCTTTTAATATAGAAATTTCCTTCTACCACGTGCCATTGATTTTATATAGAATCCAATTTAAATCAGCCTTCAGGCTAGATAGTCTGTTGGTCCTCAATCTGGCAACCTGTGCTTGCGTTTGTTTGATCCAGGAATGTAATACCTAGTTCAACCACTTGGTGTCAAACTTACATACTGCACCTTTAAGAGACAGAATTTTAAAACTGTTTAAAAGGATACTTTTTGCCTGTTACATCATGGAGAGAAAATAAAAATTTAGTAACAAGTGAAATACAAAATTGTTCAGATTTAAGGCTGTTGATTTAACATTAATTTAATGAATTAGTTCTAATAATAATGTGTTGAGTATTACTACTACATTACAATCAATGCACCACTGTTTTATTATTGCAAGCACACAGCCCAAGTCCCAGACCTGATCTGTCTATTTGCATTTCATTTCAAAAAGTTTATTAGTGATGAAAATATTGAAAAAGATGTAAAATACTGAAGGTGAACAACTCAAATTCAATAAATTGGGGAATAACCCACATGATGGTTTTTGTCTTATATTTGTATCATCTGGCAAGGCAAGGCAAGGCAAGTTTATTTATGAAGCACATTTCATACACAGTGGCAATTCAAAGTGCTTTACATAAACAGGAATAAAAAAGACAAGTTTAGGACATAAAATGCAGACAATAAAATGATTAAAAACAGATAAAAGCAATTTAAAATGTGTTAAAATAGGTAATAAAAGAATGAAAAAGAAAACGAAAAAACATAATAGTGCAATCTGTCGGACGTAGCACAGTGCTCATACAGTAAAGGCACAGCTAAACAGATGTGTTTTCAGTCTCGATTTGAATGTGCCTAATGTTGGTGCACATCTGATCATTTCTGGAAGCTGATTCCAGCAGCGAGGGGCGTAGTGGCTGAAGGCAGATTCACCCTGCTTTGACTGAACTCTTGGAATTTCTAGTTTATATGATCCTAAAGATCTGAGTGATCTGTTGGGTTTGTATTCAGTGAGCATATCTGTAATGTATCGAGGTCCTAGGCCATTTAGAGATTTATAGACCAGTAATAATACTTTAAAATCTATTCAGAATGTAACTGGTATTATTAAAATGGTATTATTAAACAATATTATATACTGCTTCATTACAACTGCAAAATGCAAATTTGTTGATTTAAAATGTGGTTATATTTCATACATATACTGTCTGTTTTTTGTCAGTTTTGCCAATGAAAAAGAAATGTTAAATTCACTGCTAAATGAATTGGCAGTTTGAATGAATCGAATGAATAACTGAATCAATGACTTAAGCATTAGACATTTACTGCCACTTACACTGTTTAGATTATTATTTAGTTGTGAGATGTAGGCAAGCCATGAGGGCCATTATACAACATTTTTTAATAAAAACTACAAAGAGAAAAAAATCTTAATTTCTCAGTTTATGCTACAGCAGCATTTTGGGGCCTGCTGAAGCAAAATGTTGAAAATGATCTTTTTAAAGAGCAAGCTTTTGATCATCAGCGTAAACTGATCATAAAATTAACTAATTAATTCATATGATTTATTGTTACGCAACTGAGTTCAGTCAGTTCAGTCTATAGGCATGTGTGAGTACCTGATAGCCTAAACAACAAAAGCGGACAACAGAGCTGCATGTAAACAAGCATGCAGTGTTATTTAAAGGTGCAGTATGTGATCTTCCACAATGCTAACAGCTTAGCATAAATCTCTAAATCACAGTCCCTCCCCTTCCGTCTAGAGCCACGCATCCTTAAACACGAGCACAGCAAAAGAACCCTCTCTCATGAGTTAAAAGCGACTTGTGCTTGAGTTTCATGGTAAACAATATAGGGAGAGACTAGGCGGAATAGTGCTATTTACTTGTGTTTCGTTGTTAAACTAATTAAAATCTACATTATCGATGATGTAAAAAGTCCCTTATAAAACTAAAAATAGTCTTATCAATCTTTTATCGGAAGATTTTAGTGGCTGTACAACACTTCTGTGAAGATATAACCCATTTGTAACAACATCTAACGTTACATCAGCTTAGCATGAAGCTAAAATAGTTTTAAAACAGAACATTACCTGTCTAAGAGAAATCCTTCAGCCATTGTTTCGCCCTTTCTCTCTCGACCAACAGCATTCGGTGGAGATGCATACAAACGGCTGTGCAGTTGTTCAAATCTGCATTTGCTGACAGACAGTTTCGCCTACTTATCGGAATTATGAGAGATGTCGGTCAGTCCCGACTCTTTTAGTTTTATGCCTCACCCAAAATCTAAAAATACATATAAATACATTTTGATCATTTACTTTAATCATTACTATTGGAATGTGAAAAGACTTTAAACCAGCACATTAAGAAATGTTTCTGAAGACAATCACCTACTGCACCTTTAAAAAGCGACTTCGCCAACTACTGGCGAGTAGCCTACAACTTAACGTTTTGCTAATGTAATCCAATAGTATTTGGATGCAGCCTTTATGATGCAAGCTGAGATTGCATCACTCAGCGATGCAATGTCAGACACAATGCACTCAATGGAGTGAGTGACGTCACTGTGACGGGTAGGGTTAGGGGTGTGGTTAGGTAAGCGCATTAAAAAGCATTGGATGCAGCTCAGATTGCACTGCACCAGGACTGCATCCAGACCCCTCTCATGTAATCTCTTCTCTCTTTAGCTGAAATCTGCAGGGAGAAATCAGGTTGGCCGAAACGCCAAAAGAGGACAACTAGGAGACGCTGTCGTCGTGGCAACCCAAAAACATGGGCAAACAAAGCTTAAAGTGAGATGGAAGGCATGTTCAACCTTCAGCAAAAAAACTAAACAAACTATAAATCTGCAAACTGAATCTCAAACTTTCAGTTTTCAGCATTTAGCATGAAACCATGGTTCGAAATTAATTTTGTCACTCTTTATCATTGTAAAGCTTCAACTTGGAACTGAAATAAGCTCGTCAGAATGTCTCTGTGTTTTTAAATATTATTTCACTAAATCACAAAGGGCATGGTAATGTACAGCTCTGGCCCTGAATGTTTAAAATAACCACTATGTGCTTTATATCCTTCTATTTTACTGAATATGTCCACACCACTGTAATTAAAAGTGCACAAAAGCAAATAAAAATGTTTATATTCTCACTCTGATCTTTACATTGTCTTTTGGGGTATCACGTGGTTAAAGATAGTACACCCAAAAATTTAAACTCACCAGTAACTCATTATCAAGAGGTTCCATAACCTCATCTGATGAACACAAAAGAAGATATTTCAAAGAATGTCAGAAACTGGTAGTTAATTCTATTGTCAAAAAAAGTCAATAGGTACCATTCTTTATTATCTTCTTTTTTCGTTTAATGGATGAAAGACACGATTTAAAACAAGAGGATGAGTAAATGATGAATTTAAATTTTGGGGGGAACTACCCCTTTAAATTAGTTTAGTATATTTTACAGGTTAGAATGTCATTATTTACCTGTTATTATATTCTCATACGCAGTAAGGCACAAATGTGTTCATAAATATAGCTATAAACAAATCTTTAGCACAACGACGAAACAACTATTTTACATTTATTATCATAGGTTGTTACACAGATCAAACAGAAGAGGGAGACAGACGTAAAAAGACAGTAGAACACAACTTGCTGTAAGTATGAACACAAGACCTATCTGGAAAACAACAGCTGTGATATCCTCTGAGTAAAACTGTGTTTTGAAAAGTGGAGATAAATATCAGAAATGATGTAATGATTTGATTAATGGTCTGTGGCTGGTGCCTGAAAATGTTTACTAAGCTCTTTGTAGTTGTGAACATTTCTGAGACAGTATGTCGACAATAGATTTACTGATATGCAAACTGACGAAAATAACTTTGTGAACAGCAATAGGCTATTTCTGCCTCTGCTTGTTTTGGTTTAAAATCAATAATTTGGTGACGATGTGTTGTAGAAATGTGATTTATCTTTCAACATCAACAAGTTTTAAGTTGTTTTTCACATTATTCTTGTGGCGACGCCTTTTATCAGACTTTTATTTCGTCATTGTGTTGTTGTTGTTTTTTTTAGAAATTTAATCATAAAGAGCCATAGATATACACTAGATGTCGACTATGCTATTGCTGTCTATTGGAAGGAATGCATTAATAGAGACGCCATGTTGGCACAGAGTGCAGTGGCGCCTGGCCATCTGGAGCCATTGATGTACACACATATATACATATATCTTTGATCGAGAGTTTTCCCGGTGGTCAGTATGCAATTTATTTTTTATTATGAAAATTATAATTTTGCGTCACATATTAATCATAATAATGCGTCACATTGGCGCAATGGGTAGCACGATCGCCTCACCCCAACCTAACAGTCTACTGATAATCTATATAAGAATTAGCCTAGCTGGAATGTAGATGCAATGTAACTTAAATTCAATAAACGGACCATCAAAATAAAGTGTACTAAAATATTAATTGACAAATCGAACATATTTAAATACATAAAATAAAATAGAAATAATTATGATTAATATAGCCTAATTAAAAAAAATATAAAAGCAACAAAGAAACAACTTTGAATCAAAAATGCTTTGAGTGTAAAAGACTTAGAGCAAAAATGATTCACAGAGACTATCAGATGTACAATTATAGATTGTGTCAAAACATCTTAACGTGGAAGTTCTAGTAAAATGCAGTTTAAACTGTGTCAGTTCAGTTTTCAGAGTTTAAGTTCAGTTTAGTTCAGTTCAGTGTGGTTTAATATTCAATGCTGAAAGTCCAAACACTGTAGAGCAAATATATCGCTCTGCAACTCCACAAGTCCCAAACCAAGCAAACCAGTGGCGACAAGGGTAAGGAATTAACTTCACCAATTGACGAAAATGAAGGAAAAAAACCTTGAAAAAAAAACAGGCTCAGTTGGGCACGACCATTTTTCCTCTAACTAAACTTCCTGTGCAGAGCTGCAGTCTAGGCGCTGGATAAATACAAGATATATGCCACTTTAATCACAGCTGATTGATCCAGATTGGGTTTGCGCTCTCTAAATCAGAATAAATACTGCTCCACCTTCTTGAGCTCTATAAAACCCAAAGTTTGCTCATATAGCAAACCTACCAGCAACACTCCTCTGGGTTTCGAGATTTTATAAAAACGACAAATCCTTCTTCTGGACACAAAAGAAGCAGGGTTACAAATCTGTGATTGAACATTGAAGTATTATAAAAACCACACAAGTGAAATATGTGATATATTCGCTCTGAGAATATAACCAAAATAAGAACACTATAAGCTGAATTTGTTGATATTAGCGTGTATTTGGTTCATCTTAATTTTGAACAATGGCCAGACTGGTTTAAGCAGATAGAAAGGAAAGAGTAACTCAAGCAACCACCACAGAGGAACTTTGAAGCAGATTAATTAAGCCGCCTTTCCACTGCATACTACATTTGGACACGATTGTCGGAATACGCCCCCTTGTGGTAGTCGCACAATATTTTCAGGGAGAGAGAGCTGATTCTCCATGGGAGTGCAAATACAAGAGCCTTTATTCTCTGTATGAATGAATAATAGAAACTCATAGACCGCTAAAATATTGGAGGGAATGTGGAGACAACATTAAAAATATATATTTTAATTACTTTCTTACTTACATTTAAGAACAGAAATGTTTTTTTTTGTTTTGTTTTTTAATATAGACTTTTTATAATTAAAAAAATAACCAAATAAACTCCTATTTCTCATCTCGCGCGCACGGACCTGCTTGTACAACACTGGAATACATCACATCCAGTCGGCCGGTCGCATACGGTCTAGTTGCAGGAGTTCAAATATTTCAACTGATCCGCAGCTCAATATGGATCCGAATTTTCCGCAGATGATCAGAACTCCACGCAGCTCCTGGACTGCTCTCCATTGGAAATGAATGACTTCCGGTCTGTCGCTTGTCATTTGTCGTGTACAGTGGAAAGGAGGCCTTACAGTAGCAAAAGGAGAGAACACAAATGACACTCCTGTCAGCAAAAATCAGCAACCTAAGGCTACAATTAAAATGGGTTTACTGATGTTGGACAACAGAAGATTGGAAAAAGTTTGTCTAGTCTGATGAGTCTCAATTTCTGCCAGGATATTCGGATGAAAGGGCCATGATTTGGCATAAACACCATTAAAGGGCTTGAGCCATCCTGCAAGCTTTTGTATCAAGAGTTACTGTACTCTCACTGTCCAGGAAACAAGGCATGTTAATAAACGGGAGAAAGAGTGGGCAGAAATATATAAACGTTGTGCTTCCTGAAACCCCACGCAGAACATACCAACTTCAACAATGCACATGATGTATACGCTGTGTAAACAACCGCTGTATGTTAATACTGAGGTTTACCCAATTTGGTCAACTTAGGAAGTTAGGATGGGTCTTCAGTTTTCCCTCTGGCCGATGTGATGATATTTACATTGCAAAGCCACCGAAAGAATCACTACTGATGTTAAAAGTCATATGCTCATTTATACAATTTTTATTTGCAAGCTAACTTTCATTTATGCATTTTCTTTTCAACTTGGTCCCTTTATTAATCTGGGGCCGGCACAGCAGAATGAACCGCCAACTTATTCAGCATATGTTTCCAACTGCAACCCATCTCAGGAAAACATCCAAACACTTTCAAAACGGCCTATTTAGCTAACCCAATTCATCTATAGTGCATGCCTGTGGGGGAAACCGGAGCACCTGGAGGAAACCCACACGAACACGGGAAGAACTCCACACAGAAATGCCAACTGACCCAGTTGAGACTTGAACCAGCAACCTTCTTGCAGTGAGGTGATCGTGCTACCCATTGCGCCACCGTGACACCTGTAAGCTTTATGTTATAAACTAATGCTAGACAACTTCTGCCAATATCACCATATTAGTTATATACAATAAAATATATATATATATACACAAAAAAGTACATTATGCTCACAGGATGCATCTTTATAATATTGTGAAATGGCATTACAATTCAAAGATATGTTTTTTAATTGAATATATTTTTTAATTTTGATTTTTTTTTTTGATTTTTTAGAATTACAATTCCTGTCTTCAGATCCTTAAAAAAATAATACAAATAATATAAACACACATAAATGCCATTTATATGAAAGGGAAACATAATAATTGTCTTTACTGTAACTTTTTGGCAAAATTAGTGCATTCTTGTTGAATAAAATATTGGTAACTAATGTATGTAATGTATTACTGGGTCACGAAAGGAAATCTCAAACTGATTTAACACAGAAAAAATAACAAAAATGTAAAAAAATGCTAAAATTAAGTGAAAGCTTTTATTTGATGTTCACAATGATCACGTTAATGCTACAGTACATACACACAGTATAAGTTCAGAATACAGTCAAATTCAAGTCAAAGGATTCAAGTCTCAGGTAATAACAGCACCATTTCTCTTCATCCCATTCAGTTCATATCTCAGTGTTTGTTGATTCGTGAATCTCATAAATGTCATCATAACCCAAGAAGAGCAAAAACATCCCTCAGATCCTCAGTTTCGCAAGGCTATAGTGAGAAAAAAAAAGTAATTAAGCAAAATGACAATGGCATCATAATCTTTACATTTATATACTGCCCAGTAGAGCCAACACAACCTCAAGGCAATTCGTAAGTTTTTGATTTAGTGGCTAATTCGTATAAATTTGTACGGTCTCATTCGTACAATATAGTACGATTTGCTCATCACCCAATGACGGCTGGGTTTAGGGGTGGGGTTAAGTCTCATGCCTCCTTTTTAAAATCTTACTTTATTACTAATCTTCTACGAATCAGCCACTAAACTGACAAAACGTAAAATACTTACGTTTCCTCATGAGATCGGGCTGGTAGAGCAGGAGTGTCAAACTCAGTTGCTGGAGGGCCGCAGCCCTGAACAGTTTAGTTCCAGCCCTGCTTCAATACATCTAAGCTGCGGTCATACATAAAAAAAACGAGCAATTGCTCCATATTTTACATTTCTGTACAGAGAGGTTATGTTTTGATCATCAATTGGTCTCACACAGTTAAGTGTTGCGATTTCGCAGGTCAGAGTTCAACAAAGCTTGAACTTTCCAATGTAGCGATCTTCAAAACTTGACGCACAAGCTTGCGTTTCCTATCT